GAGTGTGGTTTTTTTCTTGCAGACGTTTCATTACCCAACTAGGTAACATCATCAAGCACTGAGGATGCTATCTAGAAAACAAGCTTAGAAAGCCCCAAGGATCCCACAATTCATCTCCTAGACTACAAATATTTGTTTCTATTCGTAGCCAGCAACTCTGGGAGTTTCCAGAGTTTCCCGCCCAATTCTCTGCCTAGCTTTTCAAGATCAATCAAAGTGTGCCCGTAAATCATGAAGACATGATCAGCAGATAATTCTATTACCGTCTATTAGGCCAGTTTGATGCCTTCTAGACAGCCATCCTTCTCAGGAATTGTAATCCAATATGATGAAGGGCACCAAGCTGAAGGAGGTCTGTGCTATTTTAACCCCACTTATATATACTTTCTCCCAAAGAGAAGCTTTGGAAGAATACTTGGGATTCTAAAAGTCCACCAATTCACTTTTTCTCCAAACTGAATCCCACCTTCTGAGTTCCCAAACTGTAGAACCAGGACTGGGTCTCAAGAATACAAGAGGGCACATATTCTTGCCTGCATTTTTGCATTTTGAGCGGAAAGGGGATGCTTCTTTTCTGAGACACAAATCTCACACGTAAATGAAATGAAATGCTGCTCAACCTGGACCCTGGAGTCCTGGGGGATGATCACTTGAATATGAGCCAGCAGTATGCAGCAGCAGCAGCCAAAAAAAGCTAATACAATCCTGGGTGGTATAAACAGAGGCATAGAATCAAGAGCACGTGAAGTATTAGTACCACTTTATAAAGCCTTAGTAAGACCACACCTGGAATTCTGCAGCCAATTTTGGTCACCATACTACAAAAAAGGTGTTGAGACCTTGGAAAAAGTTCAGAGAAGATCCAACTAAGATGATCCAAGGCCTGGAGACTAAAACATATGAAGAACGGCTGCAGGACTTGGGTTGACTAGTCTAAAGAAGAAATTGGGGACAGCAGTCTTCCCGTATTTGAGGGGCTGTCCCAAAGAAGAGGGGGTCAAATTATTCTCCAGAGTACCAGAAGGAAGGACAAGAAACAATGGATGGAAACTAATCAAGGAGAGAACCAGCTTAGAACTAAGGAGAAAGTTCCTGACAGTGAGGACAATTCACCAGTGGAATAGCTTGCCCCCACTGGAGGTTTTTAAGAAGAGACTGGACAGTCACTTGTCTGAGATGGTATAGGTTCTCCTGCTTGAGCGGGGGGCTGGATGGACTAGAAGACTGTACTAAGAACAGAACAGAGCTGGAAGGGACCTTGGAGGTCTTCTAGTCCAGCCCCCTGCTCAAGCAGGAGAACCTACACCATCTCAGACAAGTGACAGTCCAGTCGCTTCTTAAATACCTCCAGTGATGGGACACCTGCAACTTCTGGCGGCAAGCTGTTCCATTGGTGAATTGTCCTCACTGTCAGGAACTTTCTCCTTAATTCCAGGTTGCTTCTCTCCTTGGTCAGTTTCCAACCATTGTTTCTTGTCCTGCCCTCTGGTGCTTTGGAAAATAATGTGAAAGACCTCCAAGCTCTAATTCAATTCTATTCTATTCTATTCTTAATTCTATTCTATTCCTTTTCTATTCTATTCTATTCTATTCTATTCTTAATTCTATTCTATTCCTTTTCTTCTATTCCTATTCTATTCTATTTTCTATTCTATTGTCTTCTCTATTCTATTCTATTCTATTCTATTCTATTCCTATTCCTATTCTATTCTATTCCTATTCCTATTCCTATTCCTATTCCTATTCTATTCTATTCTATTCTATTCTATTCTAAATTCTATTCTATTCCTTTTCTTCTATTCCTATTCCTATTTTCTAACTTTCCAAGTGAGGAATGTTTCTACCTCTATATCTCTCTATCAGAGTAAACTCTGAGGTTTGCTATTAACCTTTTATCCACTCCAGGAAAAAAAAGAAGGAAGATTTGTCTCTCCAATTGCATTTCTATAATTTGCAATTAGGACGGTGCGAAAAATCTCCCTCCCGAGTCTTACCTTGTCCCAGAGTCTTGAGATCAATTTCTTCTAGAAACTCCAGCGAGGCCTTTTCTGCTTTAGGGAGAAACAGATCCGTATTGGCGAGGATGATCCCCGTCACAGCAGCCCCGATGGCGCCGAGGCCCAGAGTCCACATGGCTACCGAGAAGTCGATCGGGAAAGACATCTCTAGAAAGATTAAGGAAAAGAGCGATTACACCAGCAGCTCCAACGATTCAAAATTAAAAAAAAGGGGGAGGAGAAAAGGAATGAATCTCACTCCAGAACAGTGGGAAGGTAAATAAAAGTGTCTGTTGAGTCAGGCTCAGCTCCTAGTGACTACAGAGATACGTCCATGTGATTTTTTCCCCCTCAACAACAGCATTACTCATTTGACAATCAAATAGTTTTGCTTGCTTCCCTGCAAAAAACGAAAATGCTTTGAAAAGCGGAACTGAACACTGGGGCAGGCTGTGTCAAATGACTTGACAGCTTACCCCCAGAAATTGTGGGGGCTCCATCACTGGAGATTTTAGAGAAGAGTCTAGACATTCACCTGTCTGAGATGGTATAAGTTCTCCTGCTTGAGGAGGGGGCTGGACTAGAAGACCTCCAAGGTCCCTTCCAGATCTATTCTATTCTATTCTATTCTATTCTATTCTATTCTATTCTATTCTATTCTATTCTATTCTATTCTATTCTATTCTATTCTCTATCCTATCCTGTCCTATTCTATTCTCTATCCTATCCTATGCTATTCCTGCTCTATTCTTTCTTTTTTTAAAATATATTTTATTAGATTTTATATGGGTAGGGAAAGGGAAGGGTCGGTGCGGGTAACTACAGTAAATACGTATTTCAGCGAACAAGCTGTCGTCCGGGTCTTCATATTGAGTATTATTGTTTATATAATACTAGACATTTATAAAAATAAAACGGTATAGTTACAACTAACATTTGATAAAGCAATAATATTCCTTTAAACAATTAAGTTAATAGTACAACTATTTCCAATCATCAACCTTAATACTTAATATAATAAAGCTCTAAAAATCTCTTCTTATTCTAATGTGTTTCAACCCACTGATAAAATTTCCCCCAGGTTTTATAAAAGATTGAATCTTCTTTCTCCTTCATCTCTAACGTTAATCTGTCCATTTCTGCACAATCTAGGATTTTCAAAATTATAATCTGATCTGATGGTAGGTTTTCATTTTTCCAAAATTGGGCAAACACTATTCTTGCAGCTGTTAATACATGTAATATTACTATTCCTGCTCTGTTCTATTCTATTCTATTCTATTCTATTCTATTCCTGCTCTATTCTATTCCTGCTCTATTCTATTCTATAATTATAATCTACCTTTCCTTTGCAACAGTAAGCAAAATAAACAAGCATTAGCAGCTCCATATTATCCCAGTCTCAATTCCATCGCATTACATGGTGTTCCAGAATTTGCAAATTCTCAACTATTCTTAATCATTCTCAATTATTTTGATTTCATACAGCCCTGTTGCTTTCGATGACAAATAGCCAGCGTTCCTTTTCTGTGGCTGTAATCAAACTCAAGTCAAGCACCTTCCCGCTGAAGATGCAACGTTCCCATAATTTAGGACAAGACAGGAGTAGCTCCACCAAGCAGTCTTTCCTTCTGTTGTGAAACACAAGTGTGAAGTAGCATACAATACATCGGAGGGGGACTATTACAGTCTTCTGAGTTTGGCTTGAATTCCAAATGTATCATAGGAATAAGAGGAGACACCTACCAGCTTTCACGTGGATGCTAAAGGTTTGAAGACCTTCCAGTTCAGGTGCCAAGAGCTATCTGAGCAAGCTGAAGGCAAGTTCTGGATGAAAAAGTCTTGAGCGAACAGGGAGGTGACTATCCTGCCCCTCTAAGACAAAAAACGTGGGTAGGACAGGCTGTCTGCCAGCCAGAAGAACGTTGGCGTTCTTCTCAAACGAATTGCTGCAAGCAACCTTACCCAACATGTCTTGGGTGGAAACAGGACTGGATGGTTAGAAAGCTGTTAAGCAAAGGACTCGGGTTCCCTAGGGATCAAGAGTGGGTGGGGCCATCAAAAGGAGTGGATCTGAATTGGGACACAATTGACAAGTAGATAAGAAGGTGTCAATTACAAATGTTAATTAAAATCATTACAAGAAAGAGAGAGAGAGAGAAAGAGAGAGAGAGAGGGAGGGAGGAAGGAAGGAAGGAAGGAAAGAAAGAAAAAGAAAGAAAGAGAAAGAAAGAAAGAAAGAAAGAAAGAAAGAAAGAAAGAAAGAAAGAAAGAAAGGAGAGAAAAGGGGAGGGAGGGAGGGAGGGAGGGAAAGGAGGGAGGAAGAAAGGAAGGAAGGCAGGAAAGAAGGAAAGAAAGAAAGAAAGAAAGAAAGAAAGAAAGAAAAAGAAAGAGAAAGAAAGGAAGGAAGGAAGGAAGGAAGGAAGGAAGGAAGGAAGGAAGGAAGGAAGGAAGGAAGGAAGGAAGGAAGGAAAGTCTGGTCCTGGAACCAATTATAACAGAAATATTAAGTTCCTTTTACTACATATGTTTAGCTATTTCTCAGAGATGTTTTAGTATGGATTCTTTCCTTAAGAGTGCATGCATGTCCTGTTTGCCNTATTATTATTAATTTAATTTATATACCGCCCTTCTCCCGCAGGACTCAGGGCGGTGCACAGCGTATTAAAAACAGTACAAATACAAAGCATAAAAATACAAACCCCTGTAAAACCAGATTAAAAAACCGAATATTAGAAGCTGTGTCTCTATTTAAAATTATTTTTAAAATCACCCTAAATAAAATCCTCCCTAGGTCATTGTCTTCTCTATTCTATTCTATTCTATTCTATTCCTATTCTATTCTATTCTATTCTTAATTCTATTCTATTCCTTTTCTTCTATTCCTATTCTATTCTATTTTCTATTCTATTGTCTTCTCTATTCTATTCTATTCTATTCTATTCTATTCTATTCTATTCTATTCTATTCTATTCTATTCTATATTCCAATATCTATTCTATTCTATTCTATTCTATTCTATTCTATTCTATTCTATTCTATTCTATTCTATTCTATTCCTATTCTATTCTATTCTATTCCTATTCCTATTCCTATTCTATTCCTATTCTATTCTATTCTATTCTATTCTATTCTAAATTCTATTCTATTCCTTTTCTTCTATTCCTATTCCTATTTTCTAACTTTCCAAGTGAGGAATGTTTCTATCTCTATATCTCTCTATCAGAGTAAACTCTGAGGTTTGCTATTAACCTTTTATCCACTCCAGGAAAAAAAAGAAGGAAGATTTGTCTCTCCAATTGCATTTCTATAATTTGCAATTAGGACGGTGCGAAAAATCTCCCTCCCGAGTCTTACCTTGTCCCAGAGTCTTGAGATCAATTTCTTCTAGAAACTCCAGCGAGGCCTTTTCTGCTTTAGGGAGAAACAGATCCGTATTGGCGAGGATGATCCCCGTCACAGCAGCCCCGATGGCGCCGAGGCCCAGAGTCCACATGGCTACCGAGAAGTCGATCGGGAAAGACATCTCTAGAAAGATTAAGGAAAAGAGCGATTACACCAGCAGCTCCAACGATTCAAAATTAAAAAAAGGGGGAGGAGAAAAGGAATGAATCTCACTCCAGAACAGTGGGAAGGTAAATAAAAGTGTCTGTTGAGTCAGGCTCAGCTCCTAGTGACTACAGAGATACGTCCACGTGATTTTTTCCCCCTCAACAACAGCATTACTCATTTGACAATCAAATAGTTTTGCTTGCTTCCCTGCAAAAAACGAAAATGCTTTGAAAAGCGGAACTGAACACTGGGGCAGGCTGTGTCAAATGACTTGACAGCTTACCCCCAGAAATTGTGGGGGCTCCATCACTGGAGATTTTAGAGAAGAGTCTAGACATTCACCTGTCTGAGATGGTATAAGTTCTCCTGCTTGAGGAGGGGGCTGGACTAGAAGACCTCCAAGGTCCCTTCCAGATCTGATCTATTCTATTCTATTCTATTCTATTCTATTCTATTCTATTCTATTCTATTCTATTCTATTCTATTCTCTATCCTATCCTGTCCTATTCTATTCTCTATCCTATCCTATGCTATTCCTGCTCTATTCTTTCTTTTTTTAAAATATATTTTATTAGATTTTATATGGGTAGGGAAAGGGAAGGGTCGGTGCGGGTAACTACAGTAAATACGTATTTCAGCGAACAAGCTGTCGTCCGGGTCTTCATATTGAGTATTATTGTTTATATAATACTAGATATTTATAAAAATAAAACGGTATAGTTACAACTAACATTTGATAAAGCAATAATATTCCTTTAAATAATTAACATAGTTAATAGTACAACTATTTCCAATCATCAACCTTAATACTTAATACAATAAAGCTCTAAAAATCTCTTCTTATTCTAACGTGTTTCAACCCACTGATAAAATTTTCCCCAGGTTTTATAAAAGATTGAATCTTCTTTCTCCTTCATCTCTAACGTTAATCTGTCCATTTCTGCACAATCTAGGATTTTCAAAATTATAATCTGATCTGATGGTAGGTTTTCATTTTTCCAAAATTGGGCGAATACTATTCCTGCAGCTGTTAATACATGTAATATTACTATTCCTGCTCTGTTCTGTTCTGTTCTATTCTATTCCTGCTCTATTCTATTCTATAATTATAATCTACCTTTCCTTTGCAACAGTAAGCAAAATAAACAAGCATTAGCAGCTCCATATTATCCCAGTCTCAATTCCATCGCATTACATGGTGTTCCAGAATTTGCAAATTCTCAACTATTCTTAATCATTCTCAATTATTTTGATTTCATACAGCCCTGTTGCTTTCGATGACAAATAGCCAGCGTTCCTTTGCTGTGGCTGTAATCAAACTCAAGTCAAGCACCTTCCCGCTGAAGATGCAACGTTCCCATAATTTAGGACAAGACAGGAGTAGCTCCACCAAGCAGTCTTTCCTTCTGTTGTGAAACACAAGTGTGAAGTAGCATACAATACATCGGAGGGAGACTATTACAGTCTTCTGAGTTTGGCTTGAATTCCAAATGTATCATAGGAATAAGAGGAGACACCTACCAGCTTTCACGTGGATGCTAAAGGTTTGAAGACCTTCCAGTTCAGGTGCCAAGAGCTATCTGAGCAAGCTGAAGGCAAGTTCTGGATGAAAAAGTCTTGAGCGAACAGGGAGGTGACTATCCTGCCCCTCCAAGACAAAAAACGTGGGTAGGACAGGCTGTCTGCCAGCCAGAAGAACGTTGGCGTTCTTCTCAAGCGAATTGCTGCAAGCAACCTTACCCAACACGTCTTGGGTGGAAACAGGACTGGATGGTTAGAAAGTTGTTAAGCAAAGGACCCGGGTTCCCTAGGGATCAAGAGTGAGCGGGTGGGTGGGGCCATCAAAAGGAGTGGATCTGAACTGGGACACAATTGACAAGTAGATAAGAAGGTGTCAATTACAAATGTTAATTAAAATCATTACAAGAAAGAAAGAAAAGAAAAAAAGAAAGAAAGAAAGAAAGAAAGAGGGAGGGAGGAAGGAAGGAAGGAGAAAGAAAGGAGAAGGGGAGGGAGGGAAAGGAAGGAAAGGAGGGAGGGAGGAAGAAAGGGAGGGAGGGAGGAAGGAACGGAAGGAAGGAAGGAAGGA